GATTCAAGAGAATCTTGTCCTGAGCCTGCTGCCTGGGATGAACGGCACGGTCAGGAGGTACTTGTACCAGTTGGAGCCCCACGGCCCGGCCCACTGCTGCAGAGCATAGTGGAACTCCTGTCAATATCTGCAGATACCATGTGTTCTAAGGGGTTAGCGGGATTTTGTGTACAAGTTCGTACATTCGCAGAAAATCTATGTAGCGGAACTCCTCGGGATCCCAGCCGAACTCGCCCTGGATCAGCAAGTCCACCGTGGACGCGTGATGCCTATTGTGTGTGTTTTGCAAACGCTGTAACAATGTGCTACTTGGCACCCAAGGCGCAACAAGACCAACTCCCCTTACTCGAGGGAAAGCATTTAAAAGCTGACTGCGTTTTTGCATGTTGTTCGTAAACGTTCCTCGATTGATGAGAGCTGTCAGCTCCCTGGGCAAGTTATGCAGTTCGGAAGCAGCAAAGGACACAGCAAAGCGTGCAACTACTTCCTGGCCTGTTGTGCTCCAGGACGAACTCCTCCCAAGGCAAACTGAAGAAATCTGCAAACCTTGGTCGCTCTGTGCCAACCTACTTCAAGGGCCCCAAAACTGTTACAAGTCAAGTGCTAACTTTGTAGAAAGTTATCACCAAGAAACGGGTGGGTGAGGAAGCGCTGCCACTCATAGACCGGGAACGTGGCCCCGTGCATGACATCGTGGTCGATGTAGATGCTGAAAGCCAGCAACACAGCATTAAAAATGTGAAGCATCATGTGGATGCTGACACGGACAACATGAAAAATCACACCCTACGACTAAACCATACATGAACCCCTGCCCATGCCACAGCCCATGGTTCCTTTCCATTCAGGGGCTTTGAACACAAATTCCAAAGCTCCCTTATCCCGGTACCTTACGCTTCGCCGCCGCAAGTACGCCACAAACAAACACATCATAATGCAGCGCAGCTTCTTCTGAATGGCGATGTACGAGAAAGGCAGGCCGAAGCACAGCGTGCAGGTCCACCAGTAGTCCGGGAAGGAAGCCAGGGCCCCGCAGTAAGCAATCACCATGAGAACTTGCGACGCAAATATCGCCGTAAGCACGTTCCACCTGCAACTTTGGCAGCAAAGAACCGCTCACTCAGCACAAAACTTCCTACTAAGCCAACACCCTCAC